TCTTCCGTTTCTTCTTGAGGATGTCCATGATCTTTCAGTCTTGTCTCGATGGAACGTTGCTTCTTTCGTTCGATAGGTATTGCTTCGGTCTACCAGATTCCCTTCGTCGAATCGTTACGTAGCGGGTTTCCGCACAAAATGCATGAACTTCTGGTGTCATTGTTGGTTACGTTGATGCAAACATTTATTTACACTATGCACAAGGAACAAAGCAGTTCGATCTGACGTGTCAATCTCATGTGTTCCGAGCACAAGCCCTGGGCCATGCGCTCCCAGGCCACTAGCTCCTTGCCATGAGCTCCTTTTCAAAACGTCTCTGGCCCATTTCCTCGTCTCCAGTCTGTGATCGTTGTTACACATTGTTTGTAAAGTAAAAAATTGGTTAGTTTGCAATAAACAGTGAGTTTCTTATATGTCAAATATTGATCTCTTCATTCTAACATTAATTATGTACTGCTCGTGCAAGCTGTTGCTCCCAAGTGCTTGGTAGGAAAAGATACATATTTAGGAGGTTTGAAGGTAGATAGCATGCAAACTTACTCAGCACTTTGACTGCTTGAAGCCCGTGTAGTCTGCAGGGTTCGGGGCGGGGAACTCTTTGCGGACCCTGGTCACCACGCAGCTGGGCAAGGTGACCCGGTTCTCCTTTCCGAGCCTTCCGTGTATCCACCAAACAAATTGGCAGTATGCCGTGTACCTGTACTTACTGCAATGATAACATAATAAAGTTATTTAGTTACACTGCCAGGTATCCACTTGGAACTAGAAGGCATTCATTGTTTTTAGTTCGATGGCCAGCAGCAAGACGCCACAAGCTGTAGTTTCATTAAAACATGCATATTCGAGCGAGCAAGCATGTAATGAATGGTTTGCTTCTAAATTTTGGGTATGTTTTTCAGGCCACCAATAAAAACCTGCCTGTGTCGGAAACTTCAATTGCCAACATTGAGGCACTGCCTTTTCTGGTTCATCTAATGCAAATCTCGCTTTGCATCCTCCCTTTATTTACAAAGCGGTGCACATGATAGTAAAAAAGTATACTAATTTAGTTTGACTGTACGTACGCATTTATCTCCTTTATGTTTCTTGTGCTGAGAGGCCGGCAGACTCTCAGCTTCCTGTACTCTAGGTCCAGGATATCCCTGTCCAGGCAGTACAGCTCGAAGAGCCTGTGTGCCGTGATGCAGGGAAGGCTCCCAGCCTTCTCTTTGACCTTGCACTGCTCCTTGCAGCACACACTTTCCACTGGTGTGGACATGGTGCCACACCGGGATTCGCAGCAGCACCTGTTTCCCAAAGGTAGAAACATGAATTAGTGCATATGTCAACATTTCTGTAATGCTGTGTGGGCACTGGTGTGGCTACACACTTTGCCTCTTTCTTTTCTCAATCCAATTGTGTCACCCAAACACTGCTCAAGCCTCAGATGCCTTTTGGGAGTATCCACAACCACGATGCAGTCACTATACAGCAGCTACATTTTTGCGTATAATAATATAGTAATACTTTATTCATATTCCGGAATCTTTGACCCAGGCATAGAGGGCCGCAAAAAAGCAGTGCTGCCCATGCCACAAAGGCCTGAGTGCCCAACCTGGGGCCCAGCATTGCGCAAACACGTGCATAATAAAAAAAAACAACAAAAAAAAACGTACAGCGCGCACGTGAGTACTTCGACGGTGTATCGGCACTACGTGCAGGTTCAAGCCCGCACGCAGCTGATGCATCCAATTTCTAACGCGCCTTCGCGGGACAGGTGCACGGGTAGCCCCTGCCTTAGCACTGACAGTTTCTAGCAAAAGGAGGCGCATCTTTCTGTAGCCCAAACGATGGAGCCGATAAGTTCAGGTTGGAGCTTACTCGCCGCCGCTCGGCGATACCAAGAGCATGTCAGTCACTAGTACACCTGATAACATAATATATAAAACCCCATTTATCATCGGTTCTTCGAGGCTACAAGTCAACTTCGCGCAACCCCAAAACAATCGGTTCTTCGAGGCTGCAAGTCAACTTCGCGCAACCCCAAAACAATCGCTCTCCCGGGCCTATGCAAGACATACGCTGCGCCATGTGCGCGTGTTCTTACCAGCGTGTGTTGAGTAGCCGCCGCCTGTCACTTCGCGGCAGAGCGTCTGGCGAGGACTCCGCTGCTGGCTCCGTTGAAGTTTCATTACTGTCCGACGTCGCGGACGGGTCGCAGGCGTAAGGCAGCACCTTACGCCTCTTCGCTGGCAGGTGCTCGCGCTCCTCATCCGACGGTACTGCGTCGCTCCCGCTGCAGCTACTGCTGCTGCTGCTGCCGCTCTTGGCGCACGCACGTGTCGCCATAACCACGCCACCGAGCTCGAGGTAAACGCGGCAGGTCACAGGTGACAGCAAACCAACAAAGTTGTGATTTTTCGCGTCTCCTGAGGCAGCTGCGCGAGGTCTCTGAGGTCTTTGACGTCACGAAGCGAGGTTCCGGAGACGCTCACCAGGGGCACCTTAAAATGCTTATTTTCTGGTTTATTAAAATTTACGTGGTATTTTCGCTTTACCAGCGCCAGTAAAAATTAAATGACGTGCCATTCTTGCGATTAAGACCAAAAACGTCGACCCGATTTCACAGTTCAGTATCCCTTTAAGGTCAGCCAGAATCCATGCAGGGCTCTGTGCCACCGGCACGGGTCGCAGCGGGCAGCAACATTAACAATGATAATGCCACGAGCAGGAAATCGAGGGTACAAAAATGAAGACCAGGTAAACGCACCAGTCGATTATGCGTTCCAGGCACCAGTACATCGCCTCCATCACAATCGTCACTGTTAAACCCCATGCTCTCACTTGCATACACTCCCTTCACATCCCGTGAAGCAAGTGATCACTCATAACAAAGAAAGATGTTCTCCGCATGTACTTTCCTACCAAGCAACTAAACATGTGCCACAATCCACCATGCAACTCAAAGCTTAACTCACTATGCATGGTTTTCCACAAACTACTCACCACATACAACTCAATAACCCCACAATGCAAGATTATTCATGCCAGCCATTTTTTTTTATTTACAAAATACTGGAAATGGTTTTCCACCATCCAAGCGGGAAAGGGTTACATAAGGTTTCACACAGAATAGTCAATTTCACTGTAAGCTAACCACCGCAAGCAACTCACCACCCGCTACTATACTCCGTTTCACCTTCAGTCCGAGCGCGGCTGACACTAGGAGCTATGCCAGCCAATCCAGCGTTGAGAGAGTGTCTTGTGACCTTGAGCTCCCTGCGTCGCTCTGGCCAACCGAAAGGTCACGCGATTTTCTCCCGACGCTGGATCGGCTGGGATAGCTCGTGGGCGCCCAGTGCGCTCGGACTGAAGGTGGAACGGAGTATATATACGAGTGTCTCCATGCACTTATGCTATTGCTGGCAACTCCTTGTAGCATCCCTGACTGACCTGGCTCACAGAAACATCTAAGTATCCAACAAACCTTGTCGTGTGCAACTCCTACCTTGTCCTTACCTAAACAAACGTAAACACTGTCGCCATGTTAACCTTTCCTAGGTTAACATTGTAGCTCGTCTTTCGTGAAGTACTCTAGGGCAGACCCCACCTTGTGGTGTAGCATAAGCAACCAATGCCGTTCATCCCACCACAAGTGGAAACCCCCGACAAGCGACCCACCCCGGCCAATCACCACAATTGTCTTGCTACCTATTCACTGCGAGTACCTCCACGCAGCTGACCGAAGGTGGAGTTTAAATACAAACTCACTACTGCACTCCATTGTTAGTTTCTTCATTGAGTGCTAGCATTGTGTATCCTCACACTGATTATTTCTTGTTTTTTCCTTTAAGGTACAGCATCATCCTTCTGGCCATTGTGGACCATCGGTACACATTTCGGTACGTTAACGTCGGTTCACCTGGAAAGTGCCACGACGCCCACGTGTACCGCAATTCAAGGCTGCCAGCGCTGCTCAGCAGTCTTCGGGCAGAGACACCCCTGGTGGTCAATGGGACTGCCGTACCACCCATCGTGCTCTGCGACCAGGCATTTCCATTGACACCAAACCTCATGAAGCCATTCCCGCATGGCACACAGTTATCAGTGCCCCAAGGAGACTACAACTACTGCCTTTAAAAAAACCAGACGAATCGTAGAAAATGCCTTTGGCCGGTTGAAGGCGAGATTTAGGATCATCATGAAGAGGACTGAGACAAGAATAGAAAATGTGAACTCTGTCGTTCGTGCATGCTGCATTTTGCACAATGTCTGCGAGCGATTTAATGACCCTGTGGACCCCCAAAGGCTGAAGGACACAATGAAGGACATTGAAAAAATGCGTGCTAACCAGTCAGTCTGCACCACAGAAGCTGAGGAGGACAGTGGCCCAAGCGTGCGTGCAGCTCTGGTCAACTACTTCGCAGCACATCCGGAGCTTGGATTGCGTGACGATTAGCTGGTAGCCATCTATCATGGTAAGCTACTGAGTTCCAGCAAAACAAATCATGTATATGGTTTAACTCCCTAACTGAGGGGTTTCAATGTTAGTACTCGTGTTTCCTTAAGAACTGTTATGAAAAGTTCATAAAACTCCTGCATGTGCAGCAAAAACGAGGACGAAAGAAGGCCAGGACACAAACTAAACGTCCTGTCCGCCCTTCGTCCTTGTCTTTGCTGCGCGCGCTCAATCAAATGACCAACCAACTAGCCCTAACAGTCACCCCTCTTGTAATGAGAAGGTTTATCTCCTGGTGGAGCATCACTTTTTCCAGCTACTTTATCAATAGTGCATGTTTCAAACAAAAGTATATTTTGAAGACAATGTTATTAAACAAGTGAGCTGGTTGACATATAATGTCTTACAAAATCTGGGGACAATGGACGATTAAACGGGGCACACACAAACCCCTTTGCCTGAGGTCCTTGTCCCAACTACTCCCCATCATCCGTCTGTTTCAAATAGGTAAAAAAGTTTATTGCTTTCAGGTTTTGGTAAGTTTATACATTTTGGTATCCCTTTACTTTTCCATCCTGCGGCGCATGCTTGCAAAATCTTGCTGCATGTTCTCAAGGAGGTTCAGCTGTCTCTCTCTGAGGGCGAGTTCCGAGCTCCTGGAGTTCTCCCAGCAGAGACGGAGGGCACGTTGCTCGTCCAGCAGTCCTTTCATGAACTCTAACTGCTTTTCAGCCACTTTTTTTCTTTTTGCAGGCTGCTGAGGACCTGCATTTCTGGAGCCTGTCTTGTTCTTGGCTCCAACGCTCATGAGCTTTGCGCTGGTGCCGGGCAGGTCAAGGTCCTGGTTTTGATTGTCTTCGTCGGGGTCTGCAGCGACAGCATCCTCCTTGGTCGTAACCTCTATGATGTTTTCCTATGGTGATAACTTGTGTTAAGCAAGGTCACGAAAGTGTGAAAATGATTGCAGCTTCAAATATTTTACATACCTCTGCTACGTCTGAAAAGTCGATGCATTCCTCAACCAGGCTGGAGTCATTTATGGGCAGAGCACCTAAAAACCGATGCAGCTCGTAGAAATATATCCACGAAATTCCTTCTGATCCGGTCGTACACCCCTTGAGCAGCGTCCTGAAGAAACATAGAAATTGTAATTAGCGTCCCGGAGAAATATATAAAATGAAAGGTTTTGTAGTTGCTAAGTAAACAAATTTGGAATGGACAACTTAGCGCAACATTTTCAGCGGTGTTAAAATGATAATTCCTCTTGTTGTTGAAGGTGTGCTATCTCCAAAAAAATGTAGCACTACAACAAAAAGACATTTATTTTGTTTTTTCATTTTTTCTTGAAGCTGCAAAACTTTTTTGATGTTGCTTGTGAGCATGTCCTCGAAAAACTTCTTAACAGTATTTGTTCTCCCCAAACATGTTACCTTACCAACAATAAAAGCAGTGTGCAAGTTTTAAATATTCTTTCTGATGCCTTTGTTCCTTCATCTGGTGTCCTTCAGGGGTCCAACCTTGACCCACCATTGTTCCTTATTTTTATTAGTGACATCGAATTGTGCGTAAAAGGTTTTGGGTTGTTGCTTTTCGCCAATGATTTAAAGCTATTGTTTAATATTCAGTCACTCAATGACTGGACTTGATTTCTCGTTTGATCAAGGAATGTTCAAGTTATCTGTGTATTATTCGCTTATTTTGCAGTCCAATTTGTTCTCGCCGAGTTTGCAAGTGTTGTGTGGCACCGCACAGCAACCGATGCTTTGCCAATTGAAAAAAAAAGTATAGCAGAAGTATATTTGAGTAGTGTATAATCGCTATTTTCAACGAAGGTGTTTTTACGACCACGAGTACATAGTCGAGGCTCTCGGCTTACAACTGCTATCAAGCCAAAGAGTTGCGCGTGACGTACTACTGTTGCGCAGAATGTGATCGACTGATGCCCTAAGGCTGTGCTTGAGTTTTGATCATGCTGCTCAACATCTCGGCCGCCGACAGTTCACGAGACTACACCGTTTTCCCACATAGGCTTGATATCGCACATTTTCACGCGTTCTCGTGCATAACATGCCCTAAGATCGCGCTCGCACCTCTAACTTTTGTTCACTCGTGTATGAAGCAGAGTACAGTGATTTCAAGCAGCGCACTCGCACAACAGGTGAGTTAACAAAGTAGATGCTGAGGTAAAATTGGCGTCCCTCAATGTTTGATATTGATATATTATTTATTGCACTTGGGAGGTAGAAATGTACAGGCGTGCTGGAGTTAAAACAGCGCTATGCCTGCCATCCCGAGGGCCGACACGTCTTTACGTTAAAGATGAATTTAGCCTCTGCAGTAAGAATGCTACACTGAAGGGCACAATGCTTATCCAATTCGAAAACTGGCAGGGGCGGCCTGGGTTTAGCAGAGCCAGCTTGCGCTCCACGCACTCCGAGCTGGTGTGCGCAAGCATAAAGATCCTTTACAACTTAATATAAATAGCGCAAGGTCGGTCGATGCACGAGGCGCGTGCCTCGTGTAGTTCTGGGGAAAAGCAGTAGCACAGCGCAGCACTGAGTTGAGCTATATGAAGACGGCATTTTCTTCCCGGAAGTAGCGCGTTTCACGTGCTCGAGTATTTCTACAATGAATAGCAGCCCTTTTTCACTTATCAAGGGGCTTTACGCTAGCCCAGTTGGCCACTAATTTCCCCTCCTGCCTGAGAAAAGAGGTTGAAGAGAAGGGAAACTTGCCTATACATATGCGTCAGGTTGTCGATCTTGGCAACCACCTGCTTTCGGGTCCTGTGTATCTCCAGGCGTCCAAGATGAAGGACCATTGTGTCATAGACGCCGGCATTCCTTTTTTGACGGCGGAGGTCTTGCAGGTTATCCTCCCACACTTGAATGAGGGCTCGGGTCTCGGACTCGGTCCAATGCACCCGACTACCTTTGGCTAGCGAGCTCCGCTTCACCCCCACTACACTTGCGTCCGCCATCTTGGGAAATGAAAACCGACCGCATGTGCTGCGAGAGTATACCGAATTACCTCTCGCTCGCAGTCACCGCAAACACAGAAAAATTGTGCTTTCTCGTAATCGCACTTCGCATACTATTTATATTAAAGTTTTAATGGCTCTAAGCCAGAGATTCAATTACTATGTTACGGGTGCCTACTGCCGAGAGTACTCCTTTTCGTGCTAAAGTCCATTACGGAGCTCCTTTCCCGAAAATGCCATTTTCGGGAAAGGGCATTTACTGCGCCGTCTAGCACGATCTCCTTCTCCTTTTGAGAGAAGGTCCTTTCTACTAAAGGAGCTTAACGCGTCCGTCTGACAGGGGTATAAGAAAGGTTCATTAAAGTTGGAATTGAAACGAGCTAAGATTAGTTTGATGAGCAAGCAAAAAAGTGAAAGCCGTTTACCACTCCCTGTAACGCCGAATTGGAGCGCAGCTCTTGAGGAGGAGGAGGAAAGTGTACTGAGGGCCACGGTTTCTCGGGGGTCACGTGACATAGGGGAAAGGGTCACACATGACCCCCCCGAGGGCACGTGACCTTGTTGGGGTCACGTGACCTCAGGGGAGGGGGTCCACGTGGAGGGGGAGTCACGTGCCCCCCGAGGTCACGTGACCTCGGAAGGGGTCACGTGATCTCGGGGAGAAATTTTTTTCGCTAGATTTAGCGGGGAAATTTTTCCGCTAGATCTAGCGGGGCAATTTTTCCGCTAGATTTAGCGGGGAAGGTTTTCCGCTAGATTTAGCGGGGAAATTTTTCCGCTAGATCTAGCGGGGAAGTTTTTAGCTAGATATAGCGGGGAAATTTCCGCTACTTTTAGCTGGGAAATGTTTCCGCTAGATTTGGCGGGGAAGTTTTTCTGCCCGATCGGGGAATTTTTTCCGCTAGATTTAGCGGGCAAGTTTTTCCGCTAAATTTAGCGGGGAAATTTTTTCCGCTAAATTTAGCGGGGAAATTTTGCCACTAGATTTAGCGGGGAAATTTTTCCGCTAGATTTAGCGGGGAAATTTTTCCGCTCGATGTAGCGGAGAAATTTGTTCCGCTAGATTTAGCTGGGAAAAGTTTCCGCTAGATTTAGCGGGGAAAATTTTCCACTAGGTTTAGCGGGGAAATTTTTTCCGCTAGACTTAGCGGGGAAATTTTTTTCGCTAGATTTAGCGGGGAAATTTTTCCGCTAGATCTAGCGGGGAAATTTTTCCGCTAGATCTAGCGGGGAAATTTTTCCGCTAGATCTAGTTCCCGCTAGTGGGGAAGTTTTTAGCTAGATATAGCGGGGAAATTTTTCCGCTAGATTTAGCGGGGAAATTTTTCTGCCCGATTTAGCGGGGAATTTTTTCCGCTAGATTTAGCGTGCAAGTTTTTCCGCTAAATTTATTGAGGAAATTTTTTCCGCTAAATTTAGCGGGGAAATTTTGCCGCTAAATTTAGCGGGGAAATTTTTCCGCTAGATTTAGCGGGGAAATTTTTCCGCTAGATTTAGCGGGGAAATTTTTCGCTAGATTTAGCTGTGAAAAGTTTCCGCTAGATCTAGCGGGGAAGTTTTTCCGTTAGATTTAGCGGGGAAATTTTCCGCTAGATTTTGCGGGGAAAGTTTTCCGCCAGATTTAGCGAGGAAGTTTTTTCGCTGGATTCAGCGGGGAAGTTTTTCCGTTAGATTTAGCGGGGAAATTTTCCGCTAGATTTAGCGGGGAAAGTTTTCCGCCAGATTTAGCGAGGAAGTTTTTTCGCTAGATTTAGCGGGGAAGTTTTTCCGCAAAATTTAGCGGGGAAATTTTTCTCGCTAAATTTAGCGGGGAAATTTTTCCGCTAGATTTAGCGGGGAAAATTTTCCGCTAAATGTAGCGGGGAAATTTTTTCGCTAGATTTAGCGGGGAAATTTTCCGCTAGATTTAGCGGGGAAAATTTTCCGCTAGATATAGCGGGGATGTTTTTCCGCTAGATATTGCGGGGAAATTTTTCCACTAGATTTAGCGGGGAAATTTACCCATAATGCACCGCGCGGTTACGCCGACGCCGACGGCAACGCCGACGGCGACGGCGACGGCGACGCCGCTCAAGCCGGGAACGGGCGCCTAAGAGCTGCGCTCTAAAAATATAGCTGAAGAAATTATTCGTAAAACAAAAATGTATACGAATCACCGCACATCGCTACGGTTGAGTTCTCCGTACTCTAAAAGTCGGCTGTTCTATCAGCACGCCATCGTTATTGAGCTCAACATGGAACTGCGCCATGCTAAGCGAAGCTTCCCAGTGGGCAGAGGTGTGCGAAATCATATGCGAAGAGGGAATTATGAAAGTTGAATTCCGCGTCCCCCAATTCCCCGCGGAATTGTCTTAGATAAATTGGGTGGTTCGCTCTTCGAGCATGGACCCCCGCCGAGGTCACATGACCTCCCCGATGACGTCATCGTCACTGATGACGTCACCGGCATCCGCATCGTCATCATCATCATCATCACTGATGACGTCACCGCATCCGCATCGTCATCGTCATCATCACTGATGACGTCATCAGTGACGTCACTGATGACGTCCCCGGCATCCGCATCGTCATCGCCATCATCACTGATGACGTCATCAGTGACGTCACTGATGACGTCACCGGCATCCGCATCGTCATCGTCATCATCACGGATGACGTCATCAGTGAGGTCACTGGTGACGTCACCGGCATCCGCATCGTCATCGTCATTGTCCCGGATGACGTCATCAGTGACGTCACTGATGACATCACTGACATCCGCATCGTCATCGTCATCATCGCTGATGACATCACCAGTGACGTCACTGATGACGTCATCGGAATCCGCATCGTCATCGTCACTGATCAGTGACGTCACTGATGGCATCATCGGCATCGTCACGTGACCCCCCAAGGTCACGTGACCCCCACAGGTCACTTGACCCCCCCCTCCCAGTACCCTTCCCTCCTCCTCCTCAAGAGCTGCGCTCTAATTCGGTGTTACTGGGAGTTGTAAACGGCTTTCACTTTTTTAGTCCCTGAATATACTAGGATTTAAAGTTTCCCTTTCTTTCTCTTGTTGCTATTTTGCGAGAGCAAAAAGCGAAGGATTATACTACCCCACGGAAACGTCCTGCATAATGCGTTATGCATCGCAATTTTTGTAACATTTTTATAACATCAAATAAAGAG